GATACCTGATTAATTAAGATACCTGATTAATTAAGATACCTGATTAATTAAGATACCTGATTAATTAAGATACCTGATTAATTAAGATACGATTAGTTAATATACCTATTAATTAAGATACCTGATTAATTAAGATACCTGATTAATTAAGATACCTGATTAATTAAGATACCTGATTAGTTAATATACCTGATTAATTAAGATACCTGATTAATTAAGATACCTGATTAATTAAGATACCTGATTAATTAAGATACCTGATTAATTAAGATACCTGATTAATTAAGATACCACCTTCCTCAAACACCTGCCTATGAGTATAAGGTCGAGAATGGCGTACAAGTGACGTTTCAGGTGTTCATACTGTATATAGATGGAGTAACCACATTATCACACACACACAGTAATTTATTCATAAGTAGGGGATATTACAAACGTTCATAGATTAAAAATATGGAAATAAATGGTGAATATATCGTTTTTGTCATCCACCTATTTTAAAATATGTCAGAATCGTTCAAAACACATAAAAAAAAACATCGGAAAAGCATAATTTCAACCTAACCCAACCCAACCCAACCCAACCCAACCCAACCCAACCCAACCCAACCCAACCCAACCCAACCCAACCCAACCCAACCCAACCCAACCCGACCTGACCCAACCCAACCCAACCCAACCCAACCCAACCCGACCCAACCCAACCCAACCTAACCCAACCCAACCCAACCAAACCCAACCCAACCCAACCCAACCCAACCCAACCTAACCCAACCAACCCAACCAAACCCAACCCAACCTGACCCAACCCAACCCAACCCAACCCAACCACAACCACACCCAACCCAACCCAACCCAACCCAACCCAACCCAACCCGACCCAACCTAACTAACCCAACCCAACCCAACCTACCCAACCCAACCCAACCCAACCCAACCCAACCCAACGACCTGACCCAACCCAACCCAACCTAACCCAACCCAACCCAACCTGACCCGACCTAACCCAACCCAACCCAACCCAACCCAACCCAACCCAACCCAACCCGACCTACGACCCGACCTGACCTGGACCTGACCTGACCTGACCCAACCCAACCTAACCTAACCCAACCTGACCTGACCTGATCTGACCTGACCTGACCTGACCTGACCGACCTGACCTGACCTGACCCAACCCAACCTAACCAATCAACCCTACCTGACCTGACCTGACCTGACCCGACCTGACCCGACCTAACCCAACCCAACCCAACCCAACCCAACCTGACCCGACCTAACCCAACCTGACCCGATTCGACCTGACCTGACCGACCTGACCCGACCCGACCCGACCCGAAACGATAATAATAACAAATATATAACTTAATATAACACAGAACAACTTTATACCATACGTTCATTAACACACACACACACAAGAAGATTTAAAGAACGTAATCCTCACCTTGCTCAGACAACCAGCTCTCAGGATCAGGGCTAGGGAGGTGTAGAGGAGGAGGGAGGCAGTGTTCCTGGGGTCGCCCAAGGAGGTAAGGAAGGAGGGGATAGAGCCCATTTGCCAGTCATGGGACAACTCCATGGACACAACAGCAGCCAGGCGTTGAACGAGGGCAGGTATGAGAACGTCAGTGCTCTGTGGAGGGAGGGGAGAGAGGAGAGAGGGGGAGAGTGAGTGTGTGTGAGAGAGAGTAAGAGAGAGAGAGAGTAAGAGTAAGAAAGTTTGTGGTAGAGAGAGTTTTGGTGAGGGTATGTGTGTGAGAGGAGAGAGAGAGTCAGGAGAGTCAGGTGAGAGAGAGAGAGAGAGAGAGAGAGAGAGAGAAACAAGAACTCTAGGGAGGATATTACACCCCAAACTTACAAGGTCTCCTGCAGGAGAAGGGAAGTGGGAATGGTGGAAGGGCGGAAATGCTGGAAGGGGCGGAATGGTGGAAGGGGCGGAATGGTGGAAGGGTCGGGAATGGTGGAAGGCCGGGAATGGTGGAAGGGGCGGGAATGGTGAAACCCCAATGGAAAGATGACGCTAATTTATTTTGATTTATTAATTTATTTTTTTTACCTTACAGAAGTTACATGAAATACAGGAACCTTTGTATTTTGTTTAACCTTATGTAATGAAAGATACGAACATGAAATACAATAGTCTATTTAGATTTTATGTAATGGAAGTACAGTACAATAAAATACAACAGTCTAACTTGAATTTTTTTTGTAATGGAGGTACATAAAATACAGGTTCTTTACTGAAACTTTATGTAATAGAGACTTAAACTGTTTGAGCTTTCTTGAAACTTCATATAGGAGAGACGTGAAATATCTGGTGTTTATTGAAATGTTACAGTAAAGATATACAGTAGATAGATAGATAGATAGATAGATAGATAGATGGCAAGATAGATAGCAAGAGAGAGAGAGAGAGAGAGAGAGAGAGACGCCCAATTGATTTAAGTCGTCAACAGTGAGAGGAGAGAGGCGGAGTTGGCCTGATTAGGGGATTTATCTTGGAGAGAGAGAGAGAGAGAGAGAGAGAGAGAGAGAGAGAGAGAGACCCCAGTGATTGGTCCTTACCTCGTCAGTAGTGAGGGGCAGAAGGAGGCTGGGTTGTCCTGGTCACTGAACATAGGAGGCGACCCTCTCAGTACCCACAGACGAACCATCAGTATGACCGAGCCCTGTGTAGATGACCTGCCTAGAGACACTGTTAGTTATTGGGGGTGGGGGGTGGGGGGGGTGGGGGGTGGGGGAGAGAGAGGTGGTGGTGGAGGAAGGAAGATAGGAGAAGGATGGAGGAAGAGAGAGAGAGAGAGAGAGAGGTGGTGGTGGAGGAAGGAAGATAGGGAGAAGGATGGAGAGAGAGAGAGAGAGAGAGAGAGAGAGGTGGTGGTGGAGAAGGAAGAAGGGAGAAGGATGGAGAGAGAGAGAGGGGGGGGATTATAGATCGCCAGACATAGGAGAAGATAGACAGACAGGACAGACAGACAGACAGACAGACAGACAGACAGACAGACAGACAGACAGACAGAGAGCATTACTCACCATTACAGCTAACCAGAAGAGTCTCCGGAAAGGACCTCAAGCACTTTGTGTCTGGCGGCTGCTTGGTCAGTAACCTGGGAGGGCGAGAGAAAGAGAGAGAGAAAATAAAGTTAGCTTTATTTTTAGCTGTGGGAGAAATTGGAGTGAGAGAGAGAGAGAGAGAGAGAGAGAGAGAGAGAGAGAGAGAGAGAGAGAGTAAAGGGCTCTATTTTTACCCAGAGAGAAAGAAGTGAGGGTATAGCGGCAGTGAGTTGATGGAGTGTGATTTAACCTAACCTAACCTAACCAACCTAACCCAACCTAACCTAACCTAACCTAACCCACCAAACCTAACCCAATCCTTAACCTAACCCAACCTAACCTAACCCTAACCCAATCAACCTAACCTAACCTAACCTAACCTAACCTAACGTAAACCTACCCTAACCTTAACCTAACCTAACCTAACCTATAACCCAACCTAAACCCAACTCCAACCCAACCCAACCTAAACCAAACCTAACCTAACCTAAAACCAAACCTAACCCAACGTAAACCCAACCTAACCTAACCTAACCTAACCTAACCTAAACCAAACCCAACCTAACCTAAACCAAACCTAACCTAACGTAAACCTAACCTAACCACCAAAATCGTAAACAAAATGCCACAGAATTAAACCAAAAATACGAAGAAAATCCCGCTCACTGAGGATGCATGTCTGTTTGTCGGTCTGTGGGATGATAGGATTAGGAGGATAAAGGGTGGGGTTGGGTGGGGTGGCGAGGGGGGGGGTGGGGGTGGGGTGGGGTGGGGTGGGTGAGGGGGTGGGGGGGTGTGGGTGGGGTGGGGGGTGGGGTGTGGGGTGAGAGGGGGTGGGGTGGGGTGGCGAGGGGTGGGTGGGGGTGGGGGTGGGGTGTGGGGTGGGGTGGGGTGGGGGTGGGGGTGGGGTGGGGAGGGGAGGTGGGGTGGGGTGGGGTGGGGGGTGGGTGGGTGGGTGGGGAGGGGTGGGGTGGGGTGGAGGAGGGGGGTGGGGTGGGTGGGGTGGGTGGGGTGGGGTGGGGTGGCGGAGGGGGTGAGGTGTTGTGGGGCGGGTGGGGGTGACGAAGGGGTGAGGTGGGGTGGGGGCTGTGAGGGGTAGACTGCACCTCCCTAAAAATGTATTTATTTATTTATTTATTTATTTATAATAATAATAATAATAATAATAATAATAATAATAATAATAGTTCATTTAATGTGTTTAATTAATACTTATTTCTAATTCTGGTTTTCTATTTTTACAGGTTTAGACTTCAGTTCAGTATAAGGTAAGTACAGTACACATGGTATCAGTGTTTGAGGTATAAGGTATCAGTGACTGCTCCTTCGTGGTCCAGGATGAGAGGTAATAGGTCTTCTGTGGGTGACTGTACATATGTGTTTCTTTTGATTTACTATATATATGTAAGTTTAATTTAATATGAAGATAAAATACGTTTTTTTTTAATGCGATATAAAGTTTTTTTTTTTAAGTGATGTATTTTATGTAGTTTTTTTTACTGTATTGTATAAATGTCAGGATTATGTATTTATTTCAGTATAATATATGGATTTTTTTCGTCAGATTAATTATAAAGTAATTAAAAAAAGTATCTGTACTCGGGGTGATCGATGGCTCTCAGAATGAACACTGTGGCTCCTGTTGTCTCGGTAGGGTTGTCCGTCCTTCTTAAATCATTTTATATGTTGAAAGAAACATTTATTTGATTTTGGGGTTTGTGGACAGTGTATTAGCCTTGAGAGAGAGAGAGAGTAAATGAATAACTAGATTGATAGAAACAGACACACAGAGAAGACATAAAGAATATGACTGATAGACACATTGAGAGAGAGACAGAGAGACAGACACTCACCTTCTCACGTGTTTTCTGTGCAGTATAACGTCCCAGGCGGCACACACCAGCAGGGAGGTAAGAGCATGTTCCTTACACAGCGTCCCCACCCCAGCCCCTCCCTCCGTCTCACCCACCACCTCCCTCCTCCTCCTCCTCCTCCTCCTTCACCTCTGCCTCTTCCTCCTCCGTCTGTACCACCTCCTCCTCCTCCTCCTCCTCCCTTCACCTCTACCTCTTCCTCCTAGAGCGTCTTGTGCCATCCCAGCAGGAATTCCTCTTCTGCTGGTATCACAAAGGTATCCTCCGACGCCAGCACCACTACCTCCTCCTACTCCTCCTTCTACAAATACCGGGACTTCTCTTCTTCCTTCCCATCCTCCTCCTCCTCCTCCTCCTCCTCCTTCGTCATCGGTCATCTCTGCGTCGCTAGAATCCTCGGCTTCTCCTTCTATCGCCCTGGAAACGGGAGGAAAAAAAACATGGAATTAAACAGTTAAAACCTGACGAGGCGGCAAGGTGTTAAGGGGTTGTATCAGGGGTTTAAGGGGTTGTATCAGGGGTTTAAGGGGATATTTGAGGTATTTAAGGGCTGATATTGAGGTCCATAGCTGGGATGCTGTTGGAATGAGCGAGTGTTGCTTCGGACCCACAATACTGAGCCGGAGTAGAGTTCGCCACCCTGCCAAGAGGGATCAGAGAGGCTGAGGAAATGACCGCCAACAGGGAGAAAGGTTAAGAGGATCAGGCAGGTAGATAATTAGCGGTCTTACCTGTGATAGGTGAGAAGGGCCGCCAGAAAGCTGATAGAAGCTAAGACATCGGCTCGACCCACTAGCCCGGTTACCTGTGTGAAGTAAACATGCGTCAGTCATCCCGGTAAGTCTCTACCAGTACACCGGTACCTGTACACCACTACATCGGTACGTCTACACTAGTATACCGTTATCTGTACACCACTACATCGGTACGTCTACACTAGTATACCGTTATCTGTAATTTTACACCAGTACACCGGTACCTGTACACCACTACACCGGTACCTCAACACCAGTACAACTCTACGTGGATCTCACAAGCTCCTCTCATTATACCTATGAATAAAGGCTCTTATGATAAATATTCCTCGTTAGTGAAGAAGTAAAGACTCCCTAATTATTTTACGTGAACCTAAAACAAAAATGACGTAACGTAGACTCATACCTAGACTCTCTCTTTACCGGACACTCTCTTTACCGGACACTCTCTTTACCGGACACCACTTAGGAGTCAAAATCATAATCTTCCTCAATTTTATGCTATGCTAAGTTAAGGTTGTGTCTTCGTGTAGTTTTGATGTTCGTTTTATTATTGTCAGTTAAGCGGTCAGGTTCATTCTTACATCAGTAGTCATGAGGATTGTACATTGTATGGATCTAACTTGACTCTGTGGTAAAGTTATAATGAAGAGCTTTAACTGTTGCTAACTTTGACTATCGTGCAGTTATGTGTCAGGAGTCACAGTGTACCGAGAATGGGACTGTGGTGGTACTTACAGCCTCTGTGTGGACGGGATGGGTAGCGAAGATGAGTCCAGCAGAGAGGACGGTGCCCTGTGGGAGACGCAGAAGACGTAGTAACAACCGCGTGAGTAGTAAGCAGACACACGAGTGAAGGAGCAGGTTGACGAGATGGAATCCCAGCGGCCGCAGACCAAACAGCAGGTGGTTTAGTCTGCAACACACGACGTAAATTACCTGACACATATAATCAAGTGCAATTATCTGCAGGCGTTCATTAGCATACTTTATGGTATATAATTCCTATAATTGCGTCTTTCAATACGTAAGTCTTTGGAAATTACATAATGTTCGCCTCACCGTGTCATTACTTAGGTTAAACACAAGTAGCTGCTGATAGGTTTACATTTTGTGCACACTACTCAACACACCAGACCATGAACCACCGTGTTCTAACAGCTTACTGTGTACTGTACTGCACGTGTACTGTGATACTGTTAATGAGAAGAATGGCGTTCGTAAGTATATCGCGAGCTCGACTTCCGTGGACGTTTACACATAGCGTCTGATTGTTATTGTTATTGTCGCTATGATTAGTATTTACGAAAATAAAACATAATAAAGGCATAATGGGAGTGTTAAATGCGACGTTAAAGTTAATGTCCAGTTACAGGTATAACCCAACCTTCCTAATCTAACTTAACTCTCTCTCTCTCTCTCTCTCTCTCTCTCACACACACACACACACACACACCACACACTACTGAACAGAGACAGACAGTGTTTTGGGGGAGTCGTCTCAACGAACACCGTGGCATTTAGAAATGATTTAGTGGCAGCATACTAGCGACCACCAACCTTAAGGCAGTCACTTCGGCCCAGGCAACAAGGTGTGATGTTTTGAGTTCAGTGTGTGTGTGTGTGTGTGTGTGTGTGTGGGGGGTGATGTACTGACGACACATGCACACGAAAAAGTAAAAAAAAAAAAAAAAAAAAAATGTGCTCTTATTCTGACATGGTGTATATACAAGCTTGGATGAGGTTGGACACACACACACACACACACACACACACACACACACACACACACACACACACACACACACACACACACACACACACACACACACATGTTTGATACTTTTTTTTCGTTTAATTACTGAACCTTTCGATTTACACGTGATGTAGTTTTTTGCAAGAGCTGACTTGACTGAACTGACTGAGGTGGATGTTTTGATTTAGTTGACTGAATTACCTGTTGACTGATCGAATCGCCTGGTTGAATTCGCTTAGTTGACTGAATTGACTGTTGACTGGCGTAATTGACTGATCAACTTCAATCGACATGTAATAGACTGCCTGGACTGACTGACCTGAATGGACTGACCTGAACTAACTCACCTAACTTACACACTCGACTGAACTGGTCCCTCCTCCCTCTCCCTCCCTCCCCTCTCCCTCCTCCCTCCCCCATCTCCTCCCAACCACCCATTCCCTTCCCTCCACCCATTCCTTCCTCAACACCCACAAAATCACCTTCCTCCACACCCCTTCCCCCTCCCTCTCCTCCCTCCCTCCCTCCTCCCTCCCTCCCTCCCCTCCCTCCCCTCCACCCTTCCCTAGCGGTCACAGAATCAAAAAAAAACATGGAGACCAGTTTAATTAAATGTACATGCAAATGATACTAATCGCCCCTCCTCCTCCCCTCTCCCCTCCCTCCCCTCCCCTCCCCCTCCCCTCCCTCCATATTGAGTTTCAGTATATGAATTAAATATTATAATGGTGTCACTCTGCTGTTTATTTGACTATGTAAATTTAAGAGTAGATTATTATTTTTAATATTACATCACCCGACAGATGAGGAAGTCTAGAGCCTTGCTGATATGTCTGTGTGTCTGTATGTCTGTAGTGTCTGTATGTCTGTAGTGTCTGTAGTGTCTGTAGTGTCTTGTCTGTGTGTCTGTATGTCTGTAGTGTCTGTGTCTGTAGTGTCTGTATGTCTGGTGGATGTCTGTGTGTCTGTATGTCTGTATGTCTGTAGTGTCTGTGTGTCTGTATGTCAGTGTCATGTCTGTAGTGTGTATGTCTGTATGTCTGTAGTGTCTGTATGTCTGTAGTGTCTGTGTGTCTGTAGTGTCTGTATGTCTGTAGTGTCTGTATGTAGTGTCTGTGTCTGTAGTGTCTGTATGTCTTAGTGCTGTTCTGTAGTGTCTGTATGTCTGGTGTCTGTATGTCTGTTATGTCTGGTGTCTGTATGTCTGCCTGCAACACGTAGTGTCTATGTGGTGTCTGTATGTCTGTAGTGTCTGTATTCTGGTGTCTGTATGTCTGTAGTGTCTGTAGTGTCTGTATGTCTGTTGTGTCTGTGTGTCTATGTCTGTAGTGTCTATGTCTGTATGTCTGTAGTGTCTGTGTCTGTATGTCTGTATTCTGTGTGGTGTACAGGGTTGAGAGGGTGGTGTTACTGTACGCTGTTGTTGTTGTGGTGGTTGTTGTGGTTGTTGTTGTCGTTGTTGGTGGTGGTTGTTGTTGTTTTGCTGTTGTTGTTGTTGTTGTTATTGCTGTTGGTTATTATTATTGTTGTTATTGTTGTTATTCATTAAGAAAATATATTCAATCACCTCCAAAAACCCTCACACCTCTCCTACAAAATAACAAAGCTTAATTAACTCCCCTGTAGTGAAGTTATGTGTAGTGTAGATATTACCCAAACTTACCTGGCTGTGGAGTGTTACCTGTAAAATACCTTGCAAGCTTTAATCACTATTGATGAATAAATTAATGCATTAGAGAAGGGGAGGCAGGTAAGCAAGAGGAGATAATTATATGTAAACAGGTAGACATTGAGGTGGGGGTGGGGGGGGGTGGATGGGGGATGTGTTCTTGACGTGGCTGTGATGTTTTTGTTGAGAGTGGGTTGAAGTGGGTTTTCTTTCTTTCTTTCTTTCTTTCTTTCTTTCTTTCTTTCTACCCCCACACACATACTGCCTATAACAAATAAATTCTTCTCTGTGTCTGAATCTCTCTCTCTCTCCTCCTCCTCCTCGGTGAGTGTAAACACGCCACCCGCCGCCAGAGGTCATCATTGTGAGGCCACTCTTGTTGACTCGAGTACCTTAAGGCTCTTAGCATGGATACACTCACACTATCTTGTACTTTACACTCACGGGCTTTCTCTCCCAGTCTCACTCTCTTATGCTTTCACTTTTACTCATTTACATATTATACTCACTTACACAGTCACTCACTCACTCACTCACTCACTCACTCACTCACTCCTCCTCCCACTCACTCCACTCCTTACACACACACACACACACACAAATTTGGTAAAAACTTCTACCATCCTCGACACCGCTCCTACTACCACTTGAGATTCCTCGCCCGAGAATTGCTGTTCGACACCACAACCGCATCCAGCCCATACGAGCACGAACTGATCGCTATAAGAACAGCCCATCCCAACCATTGTAAAAATGATCAATAACGTAATAAACCAGTGTATTCACTCCCAGTAAACACTACTCCTTGCACTGTCACTATGTTGAAATGCCCTGCAGTTTGAGCTTCTCCCCATCTAGTTATTATATATCATATTTGTATCGCTTATGT